GGAGCAACTCAGAGGCACTTCTGCAGTTATGTGCAAATTACCGGGCAGGTGCTGCAGAAACTTTTGGAAAAAAGGTCATTGCTATGGAAAGGGGTGGTAACGGTGCAGTGTTGCCATGGAAATGGTAAACTGGCCTGGCACGCCAGTGGGTGTGCCTCATGGGAAGGTGCTCTGCCTTGTCCCTAGGAGAGCTAGTCCTCAATTTGTTCCTGTGTCCATACCCCCGCTCCTACCCCAATACTCTAATTCCCACCTGTTTTCTGCACAACAATCAGTGAGATTATTCTATTTGCCTCTTTCTGTCTCCTTTCTTCTCCCATTTTTCAGATACCTATTTATACTCTGTCAAAACATTTAATATTCACACTCTAGTGCTCCACCCTCATCTCCATACTGACACACACACACTGTCAGTTCCTAGGCTGAAGTTTTCCAGTCAGCCCTCAGTCTGAAGAAGCTCATCCTCTGAAAGATTCAGAATTCTTTAAGTTCTTTTATGTTGAAAGTTTTTTATTTGAAGAATGTCTTGGCTGGATATAAAATTCTTTGTTTACATTTTCTAAGTCTTTTTAAAATGCTGTTTCACTGTTGCCTTGCATTGTTTTCTAAAAGTGAATGACAACAGGGTTTTTTTGGGTTTTTTTTTTTTTTTTTTTGACACTTGTATGTTATTTGATCTTATTGCCCAGACACTTTAAGATTTTTTTTAATCTTTGAAATCTAATCATTTACTTAGGAAATGTCTCAGAGTTGATCATTCTGGATTAATGTTCCCAGGCACCTGGTACATCCCTTGATTATGTCGATTGATATCCTTTTTGATGTTGTTGTTTCTAGAACATTTTCTTGGTTATCGTGTTGAATATTACTCATGTTCCCTTGCTGTTCTTCTTCCTCAGGGACTCCAATAATACAATTGCTATCCTCCTGTCTTCCATTTCCACTACTTTCTCTCTGACCCCTTTTACTCCTTCTTAAATTCACTTTCATTCTCTCGGCTGTTCTCTTGTTTTCCTAAATCACCTTATTAAGTTATCATTTGAGTCTTATCTCTCTTGGATACCTGGTAATTCTTCTTCATTTCTGAGATAATTTTTTCATTTCATCCATTTCTTTCCTGAAGTCAACTCTGTTTTCAGCTCCTATTGGATATTGTTTGTCCTTTTTTGGATTCATAATTCAAGGTCATTTTCATATCTTTAAATGCTTATTTGAGCATATTTAATGACATGTAACATTAATGTTATCTTAGGGTTTTTTCCAGCATCATGATTTTTTCCAAGGAGAGCTTCTTATTTTGTGTGTGCTGATTCTTGTTTTCTTGTTTTTTACAATAACTCTATGGATCTGCTCATTTTGTTTCTGTTCATGTGTGTGTTCTGTGAGTGTTTTATAGGATTTTAAGTTCAATGGCACCCTCTTCTGTCAATAGAGCAAAGTCCAGGTAAGTTAATAGACAGTGATAAGCAAAAGGGTTATGGATCCTCCAATATCTTTTGTTCCACTTCTATTGCACTTTTCCCTTTTAGCTCTTTCCCTATCACTACCTAATCTCCAAAGGATACTTTCCTTTCTTTTTTGCCCTTTTCTCTCCCAAAATCTGTGCATTTTGAAGACTGACTTTCAAATCAGGCATACTTTTAAGTCACTTCTCTGTGGTTGGGGCTCTGACCTACTTGAACGTTTTTTTCTTTTTCAAGACTTAGGGTGGGCGTAGTCTTCCAGAAGATGCTTTAGATCAATCTTAAGCCCTGTTGCTAGCTCCTTCCTTCCCTCCTCCCCCACAGGTTCTCTCAGCCTGCCTTTATCAAAGCCTTATGGGAGAATGAGATGGGGTGGGAGTGGCAGAGATTTCGTGCTGAGGTTGACACTCTTCTGTTTCTGCTTAGAGTAATTTTGAAGTTTGGGAATTCTCCGGAATTGCGCTGGAGTCATAGTTTTTGTGTAGTTTTATTTCCCTTCTTGTTTTTGTTATATGTCAAAGAAATTTTGGGAGGTGGATACCTTGGCAATGGCATCGTCTTCGGCTACTTAAAAGTGTACCGTTCTATCTTATTGTATTGGAATTTTTATCTTATTTCTTCAATTCTAAGAAGTATTTTGTTCACATTTTAACATTTGTGAAATCAGAGTGCACGTTACATTGATGGTCCCTTACACCTGGATTTATGGAGTTTTCTGCCAGTCACCTGGGGACACTAAGAACACTTTAAATTTAAAAGTCGCTGCTTGAGACTTTATTGGGTCACATTGGTGGTGTGAATTCAGACATCCAAACAGGTGTGGGTTCAAATTCCCAGGATATCTGTACCCTTCCCACTTTTACCCGCTGTGCTGGCTGAAGCATGAAGGTTTGCTCGATTCTTCTTCTGCCCGGCAGAGTTCTGTTTATTTGGATCACACTTAAACTGCACATGAGACCTTTGGGTCCCAGCTCTATGTTGGGGTCTCCTATAAGACTCCCATCTTGGCCAATTTTTCTTTCTTAGAGGTACATGAAATAAGGGTGAGGTGTGTCCTAAAAGTATAAATGGAATTATACAATATGTACTCTTCCAGTATTCTTCTGTTGTCTGGCTTGGGTTTTGGGGTTTTGTTTGTTCATTTGTTGGTTTGTTAAGACAAGGTTAGTTGCCCAGGCTGGAGTGTAGTGGTGCAATCGTAGCTCACTGTAACCTCAAACTCCTGGGCTCAAGTGACCCTCCCACCTTAGCCTCTGACTGGCTAGGACTACAGGTATGCATTGCTACACCTGGCTAATTTATTTATTTTTTCTTAGAGATGGGGTCTCATTATACTGCACAGGCTCATCTCAAACTCCTGGCCTCAAACAATCCTTCCACCTTAGCCTCCCAAAGCGCCGAGATTATAGGGATGAGCCACAATGCCCAGCCTGTCTGGCCTTTTTTTTTTTCCTCTAATATTATGTGTCTAAGATTCATTTTAGCATGTTGTAGTTCATTCATTTTTGTTGCTATATCATGTTCCATTTTATGAACGCCAGTTATTCTTTTTACTATAGGTGGACATTTGGGTCATTTCCTATTTGGTACTATGGTTAGCAGTGCCTTGGTGAATGTGTGCCTGGATGTACATAAGCGCTCAGTTTCCAACGTGTATGCATCTTGGATGGAAATGCCTGCATCATAAAGCTACGCATATATCCAACTCCAATACATAATGCAAAATGTTTCCGAAGAGCGTGTACTGATTCACATGCTCAGCAGTGTTTTTTTAAGGGTCCCTGTTGCTCTGCAGTTCACTAACACTCAGCATTCACTTTTTAGCCAGTAATCAAAGTTGTAGCCAATCTGGTGGTGCTATTAATCAGTGTTGTGGTGTTCACTTTCACTTTCTTGTTTAAATGGAGAAGCTGGACATCTTTGCATCTCTTTTTGGCCTCTTTGGAGATACGCCCATTCAGATATCCTGCACATGTCTCTGCTGTGTTGTCACCATTGCTGATTTCCATTCCCCTGGCTCACCCTATCTAAGGTTCATCATTCTGTTGCTTTCTTTTTATTTTGTTGTATTGCACCTAAACATATTCCTAAAAGTATTTTATTGTTTTTATAATTTCATATAAATCATCATTTCATGTAGGTTATAATTTTTACACTCATATGAAAGGCATTATGTTGCATATACTTGTTGGAGATTTCCATCTGCCTAATATTACTATAGATTTTTAGAGTTTATATTGTCTAATATTAAGCCTCTAGTAATATAACACCACCAGTTTTCTTTTATTGATATTGCACAGCGTGCCCCTTCCCAGACTTTTACTTTTGTTAGTTCTACATTCTTTTGTCTCAGACGTGTCTTTTGCAAACAGCATTTAGTCGGGTTCTGTAGCCTGACGATCTTTGTCTTTAACTGAAGCACTTTCTCAGTTTACAGTTACTATAACTGTTTATATATTGAAGATTTAATTTACCATCTTTACTTGCTTTCTGGACCAAAAAAAAGAACCTTCAAAATCTTCAGCTGACTTAATACACTCCCAATGTTAATGCCCTCCATGTTTAATTCGGTATATTTTTAAATCTCACAAGTCAATATTTGTTTAGAGTTCCCCATCTTTTCACTATTTTCTTTGCTCCTCATTTCCTTTTAAGCCTCACACCCCTTACTTGAGGCCATTTTCCTCCAACCTAAAGCAAATCCTTTAGAACCTTCTTTAGTTTGGGTCTGCTGTTAGCAAATGCTTTCAGTTTTTATGGGAAAATGTCTTTATTTCCTCTTCAATCTTGATCAACACTTCACTGGGTATAGAATTCTATGTTGGCAGTTATTTTCTTTGTACACACCAAGCTAACATTCCATCGTCAACCGGCTTCCATTACTGCTGTTGAGAAGTCAGCTGTGAGTGGGGCTGCTGCTGTTTTTATAGTGCTGTGTGCTTTATCCTCTGACTGGCTTTACAGTACTCAGTTTTTTTCTGGTTTGGGGAGTTTGTTGTTTGTTTTTATTTGTCTGACAAGTCACCACAGTGTGTCTAGGAGTGGACTGTTTTTTAATCCCGTCTTGAATTCCTGTTCCGGAATATTCTGGTTCTGGAAGAATCCCAGCCATTATCGCTCCACATAGTACTTCTCCTGCATCCTCTCTCACTTTCTTTCTACAGCACTGATTAGGCACATGTCAATATCTCGTCATATCCTCTATTTCACTAGATCACTCAGAGTGCTTTCAGGAACAGATAACACACTCAAATTGGCCAAGGTGGAAAATGTAATAAAAGAACTATTGGACAAGGGTAGAGTTTAATGTGACTGACAGAGGAAGGGACAGTGCCCCAGGAATAGCAACTATGCTGAGTCATTGCCACCTTCTAGACCTAACGGGGCAGGGAATGGGCATACTCTCAGAATCAAGGATGTCTGTATGGCTAGACCACAGGACAGATGAACACAGTCATCCTGGGGCCACTCCCAGGGAGAGACTAAAGTATAAATGCCCTCAGTTCCTCCACTCCCACCTTCTGACCTCCTGCTTACCGTTAGCCAAGTCAACTGGAAGCCAAAGCTCAGGAGAGTCTCTTGATGGAGTCTATACAGGTCAGCCTCCTGGGGCATGAGGCAGGGTGGGGAACAGCAGAGATGAGATCTGCAAGGGCAAGCAGAAGATATGCAGCACAATTTCTTACTTCCCTTCTGTTTCCCCATATTTGTGTCTCTCATTGCTGAATTCTGTATAATTTATTTTGAGTTATCTTCTAGCTAATTCTCCTTTAACCATGTCATTCTGGTGTTAAAGTTTTCCACTGCATTTTTTTTACATTTCAGATTTGGGTTTTTTTTTTATTTCTAAAAAGTCATTTTGGTTCTTTGTCTCACCAGCTCTATCACTTATAGGTTCCTAGTCCCTGGAGACATTTTTAAGTTTGTCTTTTATTTCTTTATTCATAATACTTGTTTTGTTTTGTTTTGTTTTGTTTTGTTTTGAGACGGAGTTTCGCTCTTGTTACCCAGGCTGGAGTGCAATGGCGCGATCTCGGCTCACCGCAACCTCCGCCTCCTGGGTTCAGGCAATTCTCCTGCCTCAGCCTCCTGAGTAGCTGGGATTACAGGCACGTGCCACCATGCCCAGCTAAATTTTTGTATTTTTAGTAGAGAAGGGGTTTCACTATGTTGACCAGGATGGTCTTGATCTGTTGACCTTGTGATCCCCCCGCCTCGGCCTCCCAAAGTGCTGGGATTACAGGCTTGAGCCACCTAATACTTGTTTTATAGTTCATGCCTGATAATTCCAAGTCTTCAGGTCTACTTCGTTATTCTTGCTGTATGGTACTGATGGAGTCTGTCTTCCTCATGTGTTGGATTATCTTTGACTACATACTAGATGTTGTTTTTGAAAGAGAAAATGTAGGAATAATTTGAGGCCCACAATTAAGATATTTTCTTCCAACTAAGACAATTTGTCTTTGTCTCTGCCAGTCACCTAAGGATACTGCAGCCCATGATTACCTTAAGACAAATCCAGTGCTTGAGATTCCCTGGATGCCCCCACACAATTCAAACCTGACTGAAATTTGCTTGGGTTTTTTTCACACCCACTTAAGCACCAGCCTGGAAGTGGCAGAGGGTCTCCTATGAGATTAACCACATTGTGCCGTCTCTCAGCTTCAGTCTCTGTCCTTTTATCCCACAAAACTGTCAAAACTGAGGATCTAATTGTCTAGAATTGTCAGATGCCCTGAAAGTATCAGCTTTCCTGCTCCCAACCCCTGAGGGTCATCATATTCCCCACATGTTGACTACAGTCTTGTCATCTCTTTGATACTTCCAGGACCCTTGTTTATATTTTATTTCTTTTTTTTTTTTTTTTTTTGAGACAGGGTCTCACTTCATCAACCAGGCTAGAGTGCTGTGGCATGATCTTGACTCACTGCAATCTCTCCCTCACAGATTGAAGCAATTCTCATGCCTCAGCCTCCCAAGTAGCTGGATTTATAGGCACATGCCACACACCTGATTTTTGTATTTTTGGTAGACATGGGGTTTCATCACATTGGCCAGGCTGGTCTCAAACTCCTGACCTCAAGTGATCTGCCCACCTCATCCTTCCAAAGTGCTGGGATTACAGGTGTAAGCCCACCAAGCCCAGACTAATATATTTTTCTCCAACCTTTGGAGTTGTTTTCAATGGAGGAGTTGATTCAAGTAGCTTAGTGCCCCACTACCGGAAGAGGAAGCCTTCTCATTTGTTTTTTTAAAAAACAGATCTATTGAGATATAACTCACAATTTGGCCATTTAAAGTGTACAATTCAATGGGTTTGGCATGTTATTTTTTAATTGTATTATATAAACGATGCCATTGTGTCCACTCTGAAGTGTATGATTCAGGCATTAATTATATTTGCAGTTGCTGCACAGCTACCACCACCGTCTAATTCTAAAACATTTTTATCACTCCAAAAACAAACTCTGTAACTATCAAACAGTAATTCCCCATCTCCCCCTCCCCAAAGCCCCTGGTAACCTCTAATCTATTTTCTGCCTTATGTGTGGCTCTTCTAGACATTTCATGTGAGTGGGATGATATATTTGTCCTTTCAGGTCTGGACTGTTTCCCTCTGCCTAACGTTTTCAAGGTCCGTCCATGCTGCATGGCACGTGCTGGCACTTCATTTCTTTTCATTGCTGAATAGTAATCCACTGCATGGGTAGACGACATGTTCATTTGCATTTCCTCTGCCTTTGGGCCGCCATGAATAATGACGCTGTCAACACTGGCACACAAGCATGTGTGAGTCCCTTCTCTCAGTTCCTTTGGGTGTGCCCCTAGCAGTGAAGTTTCTGGCCACGTGGTAGTACTCTGTTTAGCTTTCTGAGGAGTGGCCATATCGTTTTCCTGGAACCAGCAAGGTTCCAGGGTTTCTGTCTCTCCACATAGTCGCCAACACTTGGTGTTTTTCATCTTGGGGCTGTAGCCACCCTGGTAGGTATGAAGTGACATATTGTGGTTTTGATTTGCATTTCTGCGAGGATGAATGACACTGAGCATCTCTTCATGTGCTTATTGGCCATTCGTATATTGTTTTTGGAGAAGTGTCTATTCAAGCTCCTTCTCTGCTTTTGAATTGGGTTTTTTTGGATTGTGAGTTGTAGCTCCCATTCCTTAAGTCCACGTGAACCAGACTTTGTCCACTGCTGCTCCAGTAGAATGGTTGTCATCAAGGTCAGCCATAACCTCATGTCACCAAGTCCAGTGGTCTATTCTCTGTCCCTACCTTATGTGGCCCGTCAGCAGAATTTGACTCAGCCAGTGACTCTCCTCCTGGGAACGATGCCCTCCCCAGCTCTCCTCCTCCCTCTCCGGCTGCTCCCGCTCAGCCCCCTCTACCAGCTCATCTCCCTGATTTCTTAGCCCTGGCCACAGGGCTGACCCTTGATCCTCCTCCTTAGCTACACTCACCTCCATGGCAGCCACATCCATCCCATGACTTTATATATCCCCTAAACACTGACCCCTCTGGCCCAGGCCCCTCCCCAACCCCCTGACAGCAGTGCTTGGGTGTCACACAGGTGTCTCCCACTGACCCAGCCAGGCCCCACCCCTGGCCTCCCCCAACCCGCCCCTCCTGCAGGCTTCCCCATGTCCTACCTGGTGACTCCGTTCTCCCAGTGGCTCAGGCTGGAATTCCTGGTGCCATCCGGACTCTTCTCTACACCCACATCCCACCCCCTAGGAAACCCTGCCAGTTCCACCTCTGCCTGTGTCCTGCCCCTGCTGCCATAACCCTAGTCCAGGACACCACCGCTCTCACCTCCAGTGGCTTGCCCACTTCCAACCATCCCCCCGTCCTGGAAGAACACACGCAGGTCATGCCACGTCTGTAAAATCCTCCAGTGGTCCCATGTCACTCAAACCCAAGGGCAAAGCCTCCACAGTAGCCATCAAGTTTGTGCTGTGGCCCCGATGACCTCATTGCCTTCCTCTCCTCCTCTCCCCTCCCCTTCCCACTTCACCCCAGTGACACTGGTCTTTCTTTCTGCCCCCTGGCTGTCTGTCTGGAAGCTTCTGTCCCCTCCCCCCACATTGCTGCCTGACTTCCTCCCAATATCCTCAGGGCTTTACTCAAGTGTCCCCTTCCCAGGAGACATGTCCCTGATTGCCCTGTCTGAAACTGAAGGCACCCAGACTCACCCCCTGCCCCCTATGCGGCTTTTTTCTCTGGAGCAGCACTGAGTATCCGGCACTCCACAATTCCTGCTGTGTCCCCACAACGTTGTCACTCACAGGAGGCTGAGATTCCTGCCGATTCCACCACTGCTTGGTCCCCTGGGACACTGTCTGCACATGATGGCACTGGGCTCACACCTGCCGACTGGGGGACAAGCCCACAGGGAGCAGAATAGAAACATCTGCCCTCTGGGCACACACACTGACTCAGGGGACAATCCTCCTGTTTAAGCCTCATAAGGCTGGCACTGCCCACTACTCTGCAGTAAGGAATCCGAGGCTCAGAGGGGCTAAGTGACTCCCCCAGCGTCACACAGCCAGCATTGGGTAGAGCAGGGGTCTGAGCCCAGATCCTTCTGATTCCAAAGGCTCTTTCCAGCTGGGTAGGAACTCCTGGAGTCCTCCGAGCTGCTGAGCCCACCCAGTCAAGGGACAGATGGGCCTGGAGTGGCTTCCCCAGGTTTCAAGGGCAGCTGCCATTGAGTGTCTTAAAGCAGGGGTGAAGGCACACAGGACCACCCTCCTGTGGTCCTCCCCTCCCCTCAAACCCCTTCCACTCAACACTCAGACCCAAAGATCATTTAGGGCAGTATACAGGGTCATCGAGGTCACCAGCCTCTCAGGGCAACCCAGCTGTCCCTTCCGTCCCTCCAGGCCTCACCGGGCCATGCCCCATGGATCCATGGAAGGGCCACCAGCTGGACAGGCCTGGCTTCCCAGCTACAAGGCAGGTCCTTGATCAGGGCAGGTTTCCTCTCTCCAGTCTGCAAAATGGGCACTGTACCAACTGTAAAGCACTGTGCTCATGCTCATGATGACCTGTAACCTGAAGCAGGTTGGGCCGAGGAGCTGGGACCCCGCAAACCCAGAACTAGGAAGGCATAGTCATGAAAGTCTTCCAGAGGGAAGTGACTTTGTGGTGAGCCCTAAGGGCAGAGGGGAGGTAGCCTGAGACGGAGCACTCTAAACACCGGGACTGAACAGGTGGGAGCCCCAGAGGACAGGAAAGAGAGCAAGGGAAGGATAGGCAGGGGCTGGAGGTCAGAGATCAGAGGGCTTGGAGGCCATGGCTTTGAGTGCTGGCTGGGGCTCTGGTCTGCAGGACCTGGAAGCCAAGGAAGGTGACAAGCAGTTAGGAGATGGGGATACATTAGAGAACCTCCAGCATGGGTGAGGAGCTGGCGGGGAGACCCTGAAAGTGGGAAGACAGGAGGAGGCCAGTGTGGATATGAGATCACAAGTGGGGACCAGGGGCACGTGTCCAGCCCCTGCCTCAGGCCCCTCCCTCGCTGACCTACAGTGCTCTTATCTGCACTGGGCCCACCCCACTAGGGTCCAGCTCAGGACCCAGCCTAGGTTTGCTGTTCCAGGCATGCAGGCTCTGGCAAGGGTGGCCTGCTGGTGTGGCTGAGCCCAGCCAGGCCCGGGTGGCAGCACTGCCCTCATGTGCCCCCTCTGCCCACAGCCACACCTTCCAGCTGTGGAGGGCCCTGAGGGCCAAGCTACCCATGAGCCACCTGGTGCTGGCCACTCTGCTGGGCTGGCTGCAGGAGCGACCCCTGCCCACTGGTGCCAGCGACAGCAGCCCCCACCCCAAGGAGAGGACCTCCCTGCGCTCACTGGCCACCGCCCTGTGATGCTGGCCACAACTCGGGCACTCACTGTGTGCCAGACTGTCGGGGGCACCCCACATCCAGGCTGCTGCACCCACTCCAGCCCCGGCCTGGAGGGAAGCTGCCCAGGGCTGACCGCACAAGCCCAGCTCCCGCCTCCTGGCCAAGGGCTGTGGGCTCCTGTCTGTGAATCAGGACAGTGCGTCAGTGCCCTGGGCTGTCAAGGGGACTCACTCGCTGTGGGGAGCCTTGGAGAGGGGCTTCAGGCAGAGGGGGAGGGCGTGGAGAGACTTGATAGCCCTCCCCATGCTTGGGTTCTGGGGAGTCATAGGTTCTGGAAGAATCTTAGAGGCTGCCTTCTGCAGCGGCCATCGTCCGCCTCCCTCCGTAGGAAGTCCCCAGCTTTCCTCAAAAGCCCAGCACTGCCTCACACTCCCAGGAGCCAGGAGCTCCCCTCCAGGCATGGCCACACCTGTGCCCCTTGCCTGGAGCCTGATGAGGCCACAGCTGTTCCTGTGTAGAGTTCTCCATGCTGAGTCCCTGCCCCAAGTGCCCCCTAGCAGTGGCCCAGAGCTCACAGCAGCCTCCTGCCACCCAGAGCCCCCCCACACAAGCTGCTGTCTGCAGCAGGGCTGTGGTTTAACAGTGGTGGCTGATGGGAGAGCACCCCCTGGGTCCCAGGCTCTGTCAGCTGGCCATCGCCAACACCCACCAGCCCTGGGCTGATGCTGCCCCCTGCCGGAGAACCACACAGCAGTCTGGGTGAGACCCACCCAGGCATAGTGGGCAGCCTTCCCTGCACCCCACCGTGCTGCCAATTCCTGCTCTCCCCAGTCACTGCTCAGTGCTGGCCCCACCCTGAGAACATTCTGGACTGAGTGCCCTGCAGGCACAGTAGGCCTTGGGGGCTGGGAGCTAAGGCTGCTGTCAGCTAACTGCCTGCCAGGACCATAGGTTCCCAACTCCCAGGCATCAAGCCCTACTGTGTGCCAGCCTCAGAGCTGAGGGTACCGTGGGACCACACGGCATAGGACCTTGCCTTCAAGGCAACAGAGGGGAGGGCCCAGATGCTAGCAGGTCACCCTCAGACAGGAGCAAAGTGCAGAGGGCAGATGGCGGCATCCAGCATGCAGTCGGGGGGAGTCACTGTGTCAAGATGGAGGTCTGCAGGGGTGTGGGGTGGACAGCATCCAGGCGGACAGCTGGGGCCATCCAGCAGCAGTGAGACCCAAGCAGTGGCTGCAGAGGGTGCAGGAGAGGGCCGGGCTGAGGCTGCAGAGGCACAGGGGCCAGGCCCCATCTGGGGAGGGACAGCATCTGGACACTTGGACTTGGTCCTGAAGAGCTTGGAGCAGGGAGGGACGAGCATTCTCAGATGTGGCTTTTATGGGTCAAAACCCCTGCTCCTGGGATCCAGGGCCTGGGAGTCTCACTCCACGCCTGCCCCTGACAGGCCATGAACACGCTGCATGAGCTGCAATTCCCCCGGGAGTTCAAGCAGGCCATGCAGGAGGCCTACCCCGAGACCTTCCTGGCCCTCCTCACCTAGATGCACTATGTCTTGGAGTTGAACCTGCCTGGGGAGCCTCAGCCCACACAGCAGGCCCAAGAGGCAGCTGTGCCCAGCCCCTAAAGGTAAGACTAAACATCCCAGGCCTCCTGGCCTGGCCACATACAGGTGCTGAGAAATGCTGAGTGTATGATAGAATTATATTGTTTGCTAAGAAGAACAGTGGCAAGGAAAACCTAGCCACCCACTCCCCTACCCCCCAGCCCCCAGCCCCTCTGGCCACTGCCACCACCACCACCACCACAAGTAGAAAACTGCTTGGAGCATTCTAAAGTAGCAAAACAGTCCACGGATGCCATACACCGTGAAAACAATTCTTTCAGCGGGGATATGTGACCTGCCCCCGGGGCTCCCTCGTGGAGAATGCTTTCTGGTTCATCTGTGATCAGTGGTAAGCAGGCACCAGCTGCCTCCCTACTTTATCTTGGTTCTGTGAGAAAACACAGACCACCTGTTTTTAACAATTATCACCTGTTCAGAGAGAATAAATGCTTGGGTCAGCATCTGCTTGAGGCCCTCAGCCCGGAATGCGTCAGCCCCTGAGGTTCTCGGCTCGAAGGCTGCTGGCCCCGGAGAGTCCCGCTTTGCTGTTCTTCCTGGGTGTCTGCTCCTCCATGCCTTTAGCGCCACCTGGCCAGCGGGGTCGGGGGGGGGGGGGGGGCGGTCTCCGCTGCCGAGCTGGTCTTGGCACAGAGGGTTCTGCAGGCATCCAGGGCACGGACAGTGTCAGCCTCCTAGGGCACGGTAACCAACATGCGTGCCGCAGGAATGTTTCATCTCCCAGTGCTAGAGGCCAGAATTCTAAACCCCAGGTGACTCCAGGGCATGCCTCCCCGAAACCCGCAGGTCCTTCCTCACTGCTTCTGGTTCCCAGTGTCTCGTGGTCACTCGGGGTGCTCCAGGGCTGAGGCTGCACCATACTCATCTCTTCCCCTGTGGTCACCTGACCTTTCTGTGCCAGGGTCCAAATTTCCCCTTATTTTTTTTCCAGCCATCAAGTTTCAGTTCATGTCTGTTGAGTGGTTCAGCAGTTGAACAGTTCAGTTCAGCATCTGAATAAATGTCCCCTTCTTACAAGGATGCCAGTCATTGGGTTAGGGCCCCACCCTAGCAACCTCGACTTAATGACAACTGCAAACACCTATTTCCAAATAAGGTCGCACTCACAGGTACTGCTGGTCCACTTCATATCTCTTTTTGGGGGGACACAATTTAACCCACAACAGTCATGAGCCCAAGCGCCATCCACAGCCAGGACTGTGTCCTGCTTACCTGTCACCTGAGGGTGCTTGGCAATAGAGACATTCAGTGTCACTGCCATACAGGACTGCACAGGGACAGCATTACCAAAAGCATCCATGCAGTGAGCCACATCTTACCCCAGCGGGCTTCCCGAGAGGGCTCCAAATGAATGTCATCTTCCCTGCTTTACAGATGAGGCGACTGAGGCTCAGAGTGGGTCAGAGGCTTCCCCTGAGCCACACAGCATGTCCATGCAGAGGTGACCCAGGCTCACCCATGGGGGCAACGCCTCTCCAGACCCTCTCAGGCATCTCATTGGCCCTCGCCCGCTCCCCTGTTACCCACCCCCCCACCCCTCCGTCGTATTCTGGCCTCAGTAGGGCTGGCTGCCTTCGTCTTCACTCTGCCCCAGGTCGTATTTCCAGAACTCCAATAAGCAAGTCTTTAAAACCCGCTGGGGCCGACTCTTTTCAATTGTTTGTATTATGATGTGCGTCCCGCAGTCTGTCCATTTTAACAGCTCTCCCCAAGGCAAGTCACTTTTTAAAAAATGCCACTTCTTCTCATCTTGCCTCTGAATTCGAATGTGCGTGAAGTTCCTTTTTATTCAGTTCAACAGTGCAAAATGCATGAATCTCCCCTAATAAGCTAATAAAACGTTCTCCTCCCAGAACGTGGTGGGACTGGGAGAAAGCCTCACCCATCTGCTCCTCCCCCTGCTGGAACGTTCTTCCCCCAGCCACCCTGCCTCTGCAGGCTCTGCTCACCCGCACCCCGCTGAGGCCTCCTCCACCACCCTCTGAAATAGCAGCCCCGTGGTGCCTCCCACCCCCTGCTGCCTTATTCTCCCCGCAGCCCCGCCGTCAGCTACCACCTGTGCTCTGCGCCTTTTACCTGCTTTACTAACTGCACCCATAGACTGGAAGATCCTGAAGAGCCAGGGACATCTGTCTCTCGCGGGTTCCCCCCCAGAGCAGGGATGTCTGTCTGTCTCACTGGGCCCCCACACACACACCTGGGCGTCTCACTGGGGGCCCCCACACAGCAGGGATATGTGCCTCACGCGGAGCCACGGGTGGTTTCCGCTCAGGCCGCTCCGCCCTACCGGCTGGCCGCTCTCCGGGCGGGTACCCCCGGAACCCTGAAGGTGGCCCCTGCAGCCCGAAGAGGAGAAACTCTCACCACAGGCACAGTCCTTGGCTCTGATTGGCCTAGCTTGGGTCACATGCCCACCCCTGAACCAATCACTCTGGCCACAGGGGCCTGTGCGGCTCTGATTGGCCAGGCCCGGCTCCCACGGCCTCTGACTGGCCCAGGGAACGGAACCTGCCTGGGAAGCCCCCGCCCACGCAGGGGCCCAGGCTCCAATTGCCCAATCAGCTGCCGTGCCACCATGGAGACTGGGGGTCCTGAGAGCACAGTATCACCCTGGTGTATCCCAGTGGCCAGGGGTCTGAAGTCCCTGCCAGGCTGCTGTGGCACCATCAAGGTGGGGACAGGGGCCCAGAAGGGCATCTGGATGCGCAGCATCTGGATCTGCATGCCCAGCACAGGACACTGTGGGGCAGCAAGCGAGTCTTGAGGACTGGTGGGGCTAGTCCTGGGCCTCTGACGGTCTCATGTCCTGCTTAGATGGATGGGCCTCTGCGACCAGCGAGCGGCAAGTGGGGTTGGGCAGGTCACCCTTCCCTGGGCAGGGCTTCAACAGGGGCTGCCAAGCTGGCTGGAGGGGCCTTCCTCTCCCCTGCTCCTCCACTCACAAAGCCTTTTCCTTAGAGACGTTTCCTAAGTCGGTCAGTTCTCAGCTGGGTCCACCTCCAGCCAGTCTCCGCCCTGCTCCACAAAGGAATTCTCATTGCTCTCACATGTCATCCATGTGGGCCAACTCGTTAATTCTAATGGGCTACATCGTTTCTCTTTATTTGGAAGACATTCATCATCCTCGCCCTCATCTCATCTTCATCTTTCCATCTGTCCCCCGGGGATTTGGGGGCAAAAGCTTGTGATCAAAAGAAGAAGAGGAACTTCACGCTCATTAGGTTGACTACTGTCCAAAAAAAAGAAAAATCAGAAAATGAATGTTGGCGAGGATGTGGAGACATTGGAAGCCTTGTGCACTGCTGGTGGGAATGTAAAACAGTGCAGCTCCTTTGGAATAGTTTGGAAGTTCCTCAAAAACTTACATGTGGAATTACCATATGGCCCAGGAATTCCACTAATGAGTTTACACCCAAAAGAAAGGAAAGCAGGCACCTGGGACAGATATTTGCACACCCTGCTCACAGCAGTGCTATTCACAATAACCCAAAGATAGAAGCAACACAAGTGTTCATCAGTGGGTGAACAGGTAAGCAGGCTGGTCCACCCAAATAATGGAATACTATTCAGCCTTGAAAAGGAAGGAAATTCTGATACAACGTGGATGAACCTTGAGCACATTCTGCTGAGTGAAATAAGCCAGTCAAATACTGTATGAGTCCACTTACTGGAGGTCCATGAGTTGCCAAATCTATAGAGACAGAAAGTAGAATGCTGGGTGCCAGGGACTGGGCAAAGGGAGAGTGGGGAGTTTAATGGGGACAAGCTTTCAGTGTGAGCAGATGAGAACATTCTGGGGATGGATGGGGGTGATGGTTGCCCAATATTTGAATGTGCTCAATGCCCTGACCTGTACACTTAAAATGGTAACTTTTATGAGATGTGTATATTACCACAATTAAAAATAAAACCAGAAGAGGAAAGTGTGGGAGAGGGAAGGGGGTCTCATGGACCCCCAGGCTGGGGAGGAGTGTGGAAAGCAGAGGGGCTTTGCCTCCTCTTTCTCAGGTGCCTTTGCCCTCTGGGAGCAGAGTGAGGAAAGGGGGTTGGTCGGGTATGGGGCAGGCGTCACTGGGATGCCAAGTGTCTAAAAAGGCTGAAGGCAGGCAGCAACGCTGGGACCAGAGGAACGGAGATGTTTCCTTGTCTGCGGCCAGGCATAGATTCAAGGGGCTCTGCCTTCATTGGCCTTGGTGCTACACATGGCTTTCTCCCTGAGCATGGCCGGGGGTCCTGGGCTGGAGGTGGTCTGCAGGTTTACGGACCTGCAGGGGAGTTGGACGTGGATTCCCAAGAATGCTAAAATCAGCCCATCTTTCCAGAAGCCCTCCTGTGGCTGCAGGGACAAGGCAATCTCAAAGAACAAACCATCCAGTGCCCAAGAAGCCACAGGACCAGAAGCTTCTGGAATCCTGGACCAAACAAAATGCCACCCCCCCCCCACCAAGTCCCCTTCTTCTGAAAACAACTGTCACTTTGTGGCTGAGACCAGTGACCTGGAAAATGCTGCCTCTTTTTATGACACAGCTAAGGGCAAGAGGACAAGCCAGCTGGAATTTGGATTGGCACCATCAGAACTTTCATGGATGGCATTTCATCATTTGACACTTGGTTTTGCAAATCTGCTCAGAAACGTGCCTGGTTCAAGCTGATGGCCTCGTCCACCCGGGCGTGCTCACACATCCAGGGTGATGCCCTCACACTGACCGAGCTGGGGAGGTGGCTGGAACAGACAGACAAGCCAGCAAGCCAGGGCCATCTCATGTGTCATGAGCCTGCATGCTGGGGCTTCCTATCTGTGCCCCAGGGACTGCGTTCAGTGACAGTGACATCCTGTGACAGTCACATCACTGGCAGGTTTGGAGCCAGGGCCCAACTTGACCCCACCTCTGCACCCCTGGCCAGGCTGTGTGCCAGGATGTGTCACCTCTCCAGACCGCTCCCTCCTCTGCTGAAGGAGAATGACAGTAGAGTCCCACCTCAGGCTGGGCAGGTGAGGCACCGTCCATGGCACCTGGCAGCCACCAAGCACACAGCAACACCACAAGCCACACACAGCATCTTTGTACGTCACACACAAGCAAGGGCCGTGCCGCTGGCTTCTCCGTGTCCACTGAGGGCAGCGGAGTCTCGGGAGGGGAGGATGGACACTTCCCTGGCTCCGCCATGCCACACTTCCTAGCTCTCCCACACCTTCATCTGCTGCCACCCTCTGTACCCTTCGCCCATATTTAAATGCTGCCATCCTCGAGCTGAACCCTGCCCCTCCCTAGAAGGGCACTCCCGGTCTCCTGCTTAAGCAAGACCCAGGTCTGAGTGGGCACATGCTTCCTCCCCGTGCCTGTCCCAGCCCCGCCAATCCTAGGCCCCCGCATTTCTGTGCAAAGCAGGGCAGGAGAGGGCAGCCCTGGGGCCCTCAGTGACGTCAGGCACAGGAACCAGAATGTGGCTTCCTATCTGGGTCAGCTGGGCACCCTTCCCAGGGCAGGGGGTGGCCCAGGTGGCCACTTGTGGCCAAGGCCCTGAACCCCCTCTGCTCAGCTGCAGCATGTCCCTGGAGGCGCTGAAGAGCCTGCTGTCCACCACAGGACACTGGCATGACTTTGCCCATCTGGAGCTGCAGGGTTCCCGGGAGCTCTTCACCACCATCCACACGTGCCCGAAGGGCGTGGGCCTCCTCGCCAGCTACGGTGGGACCAGGGCAGGTGGAGGCAGCCTGCGTCAGGCCACGCCCATCCAGGGGGCTGGGTATCTGGACTGCAGTGAAGAGACACGGGACATGGGACACAGCCCCCTGCCCTCCATCACAGGCACACACCCAGAGCCTTTTGATTCCCCCAGCCCTCACCCTGGCCCAAGGCTGTCTAGGGGACAAGGGTTGTGCCTGCATCTCCTTCTCCCCCATGTCCAGCCCAGGCCTGGCATGCAGTGGGCAGCCAGTGGGTACAAAGGGAGTGGGAACATGCCTACCACGTTGGGACTTTTCTAGACGCTGGGCCCAATGGGATGGGTGAGGGAAGGTGGGCTCCAGGCAGTGACCCCAGCCCAGGTCCTCCCATGCAGGGCCACGGTGCAGAACCACTGCAGGCAGCTCAAGGCGGTGCTGCGCCAGCTGCTGCCCAGGCTGCAGAGCCCAGAGGAGCGGGAGAGGAAGGCGGCCATCCTCATCCTCACTGAGGTAGGGCGCATGCAGGCAGGGAGCACCTCAGATGCCTGAGCCTAGTTCACTCTAATTCCTCCAGCCTCCTTGACACCCCAGCAGAACACACACCAAAGCTCGGCCTGACCAGGGCGGCTGCCCAGACAGACCCCCTTGCACCCCTGCCTTCCCACTCCCAGCCCCTGGAGGGGGCCGCAGCCTTTGGGGGACCTGTCTTCCCACTCAGCCCTCCCTGGCACAATCGCTGCAGAGTTGAAGGGGCACTGGGTGCAGACTCAGGCTCCAACCAGCCCTGTCCTGCCTGTGCAACTCACGGTGAAGCCAAAGGGGAATGGATGGGTAGAAGCAGACGACACTGGGGGTGGCATGCTTTGCAGCTGCAAGCTCAGGCAGAGGGTGGGGGGCTGGGGCAAGGAGCGTGCCTTTTCCATAAGTAATACCAGTAGGGGAACCCAAGCGAAAGCCTCATGCCAGCTCCCACCAGCCGCCTGGGCCACCCTCCATGGGAGCTCTATCCCCAAGTACCCCACAAGCCTGACTCATGATACAAGTGAGGCCTCGCCTGGCTGTGTGACTTCAGGCAAGGCCCTTTCTCTTTCTGGGGCTCAGTTTCCCCAGCTGTACATGAAGGGGTTGAACCAGGTACCAAATACTTGTTAACTAAGATACCCAAAGGGTACTGGTCAGCTTCCCTCTCTGAAACTCCCAACCGGACCCTGGACCTAGAGCCCCACTCCTCAACACAGATGCAGACACCTCACAAAAGAGTGACCTGCCTGCCCTCCCAGGGGCCACCCTAGTTCCTCTACAGCCCTCCCCTGCTGGAGGTGCTTCCCAAACGGCTGCCTTGACCTGCTGACACGCGGCCTCTGGGACCCCAGCCCCGAGGTCCACGTGTCCAGTCTGCAGGGCCTGGGGAACATCCTCTTCCTCCCGGATAAGGTAAGGGCAGTCAGGCACCGTGGCTGGCACACCCCGATCCCACAGAATAGCCAGAGCACCGTGTGTAGGCAAGGGCCATCAGGTCGGAATCACCACTCTGTCACTTCAGGTGGTGTGGTTTGCGACACCTGACTCCACCTCTCTGGACTTGTTTCCTCATCTGTAGAACGGGGCAGGCTGTGGGAGGGGTGAAGTCTATTCCCCGGGGGCTGAGTCTCCTTACACCCACAGAGAGGGGGACCTTATTGCAGACCTCCAGGTGGCCACTGTGAAGCCGGCCAGGTACCATCCCAAGGCTCAGCCAGAGAGGAGAACGCCCTCTGAGAACCCTATGAATGGGTCTTCCCAACCCCCCGCTGATGTCTCCAGTCCCAACCCATTCTACCTCACCACCATCATCATGAACAGCTGTGGGAGGGAAGGCCTGTGATCTCACCTTCGGGAGATCTGGTCTTACCCAGTTACAGCCCCCAACTTACTGACACTGCCCTTGCTGTGGGGGCCCAGGGCACCATGCAGTGGTGAAGGGTCCAGGCCCTGGACCTATCCCCGCCCAGCACCTTCTAGCTGGCAGGCTTTGTCAGTCCTCTGGGCCTCAGCGACCACATCTGTAAAATGGGAGCAGTAATAGTGCCTGCCTCCTATGGTAGGCAGGTCAGCCCTAGAGGCACTGGCAGCAGCAGCAGCAACCTTCCTGCCTGGCTGACTGCACAATGAAAATGCCAAGTTAGAGGCAGAGATTTTCTCATCTGATCAGGAAGTGTGGAGCCTTAGCCTCCCCTCATCCACCCCAGGGGCTGTGTTAGGATCCCAGAGGGGAGGGACATGCCCAGCCCCCACTTCTGTTGCTGTTGGAGGAGGCAGTTATGAACATAAACATTTTCAGGGCTTGTGGGAAGAAGTGTGATCATGGAAAGGCAGCAGAAGGGACAGTTTCCAAACAGATCCCATGTCATTTGCCCGGCAGACTAGTTCACGCTAATTCTGTTCCACTCACAGGTCTCCGCATGGTTCAGAAGAGACCTCCATTAGGGTCACAGCTGGCAAAGCCTGTTGCATTGTGCATGACGCATAGTAGGTGCTTAATGGAAGATGGAGACTAGATACCACTTCCTCATTAATCTGTTCATCCCCCCATCCTTCATCCATTCATCCATCCATCCATCCACCCATCCACCCACCCATTCATCCAGTCCACTCATCTCTCCATCCATGCATTCATCCAGTCCACTCATCTCTCCATCCATCCATCCATCCACCCATTCATCCAATCCACTCATCTCTCCATCCATGCATCCATCCATCCATCCACCCGTTCATCCAGTCCACTCATCTCTCCATCCATGCATCCATCCATCCACCCACCCATTCATCCAGTCTACTCATCTCTCCATCCATCCATCCATCCACCCACCCACCCATTCATCTAATCCACTCATCTCTCCAGCCATGCATCCATCCATCCACCCACCCATTCATCCAGTCCACTCATCTCTCCATCCATGTATCCATCCACCCACCCACCCATTCATCCAGTCCACTCATCTCTCCATCCATGCATCCATCCACCCACCCACCCATTCATCCAGTCCACTCATCTCTCCATCCTTGCATCCATCCATCCACCCACCCACCCATTCATCCAGTCCCCTTATCTCTCCATCCACCCACCCACACATCCACTCATTCATCCAGTCCATTGCTCTCCTTCTATGCCTCCATCCACCTACCCACCCATTCGTCCTTCCCTCTATCCATTGATCCCATACATCTACCCATCCATCCCTCCACCCACCCACCCATCCATCCAACCATCCACTCACCCATTCATCCAGCTATTTACCTACCCATCCATTCATCTCTCCATCCATGTCTCCACCCATCCAGCCACTCATCCAACTATTCACCTACCTATCCATCCACTCACCCATTCATCCCTCCATCCATCCAACCATCCAACCACCCTCTCACCAGGCATGCCTCCATCCATCTACCCATTCATTCATTCCTCCATTCATCCGTGCATTGATCCCCCCCATCCACCCACATATCCATCCCTCCACCCACCCACTTGGTCCTTGGGTCCTTCATCTATGACTCATTCTTGCATTATTTATTTTGCTCATTCTTTATGTATGCATTCATTCAATCAGTTATTCATGTTTGCTCCCCCATTCAGTCATATCATTCATTCATTCAGTGTTTGGTTGTCTCTGTACCATATGTCCTACCAGACAGGGAGATGATCAGTAGGAAGTTTCCATGTGCCTCCTCTTAACCATGCACTGAATACAGGGAAGAGAGAAAGGCAAAGAAGGGCCCTGCAGATCAGGAGGACCAGGTCCAGAGAGGAGGGATGGTTCCCTGCCTGGCATCAAGTGGGGTGTGGGCAAGAGCCACAGAAGGCCAAGAGAGACAGGCCCCGAGAGCACTGCCAGCCAGGGAGGCCTGCCAGCGTGGGGATGGGCAGACGGGACCAGGTGTGGCTGGTGCTGGCCACCGCACTCCACGCTGAGCAGAAATAAGCCATGCTGTGCATTTCCATTAGAATTCCGTTCTTTTGTCCTGTTCTGACCCAGCCAGAACCCTCGTCTTCAAACACTGGCTGCAAACATAGATGCTCAGAAACTGTGTGCTGAATGACTCACTCGCTGAACATAAATATTTTCAAAGCAAACAGCTTAGAGAGCTAACAACATTGCTTTAAACTTGTTTAAAGGTTGTACCAATCACCCTGGTTTGTACACAAGGCATTGATGAGGGTCCCAATGGCAAGAAACATCCATTGGTGGACACACTGCTGATCATTCATCCCAATAACTCAGGAGCTCACTGCAAACACGCAAAAAAAAAAAAAGCCCAATGTGTTGGCTTACGGCTGCAATCCCAGCATTTTGGGAGGCCAAGGCAGGTGGATTGCTCAAGCCCAGGAGTTTGAGACTAGCCTGGGCAACAGAGTGAGACCCCATCTCTACCAAAAAAAAAAATTAGCCAGGCGTGGTGACACACACCTTTAGTCCCAGCCACTCAGGAGGCTATGGTGGGAGGATTGCTTGAGCCTGGAAGGTCAAGGCTGCAGTGAGCTATGATCACACCACTGTACTCAAGCCTGGGTGACAGAGCGAGACCCTGTCTCAAAAAAGAAAAGGGGCCACCCTGTCCAGGCCATGCAGCTCCTAGGGCAAAACCCGGGTGGGAGCACAGCTCTCCATGGTGGGCAGGGCCAGGCTGGGATCCATAGCTCTGAGTCACCCTCCGGTGCAGATGGGGTGAGGGGGGGCAAGTGGGAGGGCAAGGCAAGGTGCAGGGCCAGCAGGTCCTGGTGCCCTCCACCCACCAGCCCCACCGCCCCCAGGGAAGCCTGCTGCAGGGACAGCTGTGGCCCTTCCTCAACAGCTTCTTCCGGAGCAGCAAGCAGGTGGTCATGTGCATCATGGACACTGTCAGACACGCTGCACCGCCTGGGCGCGGGGTTCCAGAGCCTCAGTGTCGCCATCAACACACGCTCCTTTGAGGGTGTGAGCACTGGGGCGGAGCAGGGTAACCTCCTCTCACGCTCTCCAGGACCCTCCTCCCAACCCAGCTCCCTTTCTTTGCCAAGGGGGACCCCGAGCTGCAGCAGGGAGGCCCCGGGCCCAGGGGAGCTGCCCACTGGTGGCCCTCGGTGGAAGTGGGCCCCTGGTACGTACCCTTCTCCACAGGGCTGAACTAGCTCTCACATCCAGTGCCCAACTCCACTGGACTCCAGCCCCACAGCAGGCTGCCCAGATATAACTCTGACAAACCAGCATGGTTCACCTGGCTGTTTTTTCTTCACTGGAAAATTGGGGGATAGGCACCCCTCAAATGCATTCATGATGCTGGCTACCATGATGCACTTCTGGGTAGAAGGGAGATGTGATTTTTATGTCCTTGGAGACATAGCCCAGTGTGAGGGGGAGGCCCAGCCCTGCCCCAGGAGCCGAGAGCCTGGGTGAAGGAATCCTGCCGAAGGAACTGAGTTGCACCCCTACAATGAGTTCCACGGTCAGTGCCCACAATGAGGTGCGGGGTCCCACTTGGACCAAAGCCGGGGCCCCCAGACAGACCTGGCCGTGCCTCTGAGCCTCTACCTTGCAGGAGCGGGACGGAATTCGGGCGGCAGCCACGGCACTGTTCAGGGACCTGGTGGCAGCGAGCTGAGTGGTCTGCGGACCCAGGTGCACCAAAGCATGGTACCCCTGCTCCTGCATCTGAAGAATCAATGCCCAGCTGTCGTCACAGTCAGTGCCCACCCCAGGCAAAGCAGGTGGTAGGCCTTTGTCTCAGCCAGGGCTGGGGCCCACAGAAGTCCAGGGCACGGGGCAGACAGAGGGCAGCAGGGCTGCCTGAGAGTGGGGAGGGGTCCCACGGGACAGCAAGTGGCAGGCAGAGGCTCTGGCCCCGACTGGTTCCTCTGACCACAGTCGGCCTGTCCACTCCCCCACTGTGAACACACATGCAAGTGAGGCTTGCTGTCGATGTGGCAGGACCCAGCCTTTTCTGCCCACTGCTGTGTCCCCAGGGCCTGGCACAGGGTTGGGGGTCCAGCAGCTCAAGGAGCTTTTTGGAATATGGACTGCATCCTGCCTGAGGTGCCAGCACACGCCCTGTGCACAGCCCACAAAGTCACAGCTCGGCCTCGTGGGTCTCCCTGCCATGGAGAAAAGGAGGATACACAGCAGCCATGGAATGAACAGCCAGAGCCATGGGCAGGCCAGCCTGGGCTCTCAGGGTGGAGGCACAAGGTGCCACTGCCGGGGTGCAGGAGGCTTGCCGAGGGGCACAAGCAGAACAGAGCCAAGGATACCTGCACAGCAGGCTGCCTCCAGTGCCCGCCAAGGCCTGTGGTCTCCAGAGCAAGGGGCTCTGACATGGGTGGCAGGTGAGTCCTCCAGGCCTATCCCCACAGCAAGCCAAGTTCACCTTCTACCACTGTGCTGTACTGCTCCACTGGCGGCCACGGCACACCCTCTTCTGCACGCTGGCCTGGGAGAGGGGCCTCAGCGCCCGCCAATTCCTCTGGACCTGCCTGGTGAGGGGCCTGGGATCGGTGGGGAGGAACAGGGCCAGGGAGTGGGAGGGCCAGGCTTGCGGCTCCCTGTTCTCTCCTGCCTCACACACAGCTGCTGTGGCTGGGCACGGCAAGCTGGGGCTGGAGGTCCATGGTACCCCCATGGCACCCCAACCCCTGTCCCACCCAGGCGTGCTCTCCTGCCAGATGACCCGAAGCCAGGAGGAATTCAGCATCCACTTGTCACAGGCCCTCAGCTACCTGCACGGCCACTCCTGCTACATCAAGACCTGGGTGACGCTCTTCATAGGTGGGAGGGCACAGAGCCGGACTTGGAGACCCCCAGGCCTGCCCCCATCCAAGTACCCTTGACCCGCCCTGACCCACCTGCCCACAGGAGAGGAAAGGGGTGGATGAGGAGCAGCTTTGGGCTGAAGATGGGGCAGGGGTGGCCTGGAGCGCCCCAGGAGACAGGGAGCCCCGAGCCGCCAGCTGCCCGGCTGTTGCGCAGGCTACACCATCTGCTACCACCCCAAGGCCGTGTCCCAGAGGCTGAATGCTGTGGACACCAACCTGCTGTTCCACAGTAAGTGGCCCTCCCTCCAGAGCTCCCGCAGCCCAAACACCCCCACCCCCACCCAAGCACACTAAGACCCACTGCAGACAGCAAGACTAAGGCCCCAGAGGGGACCCTCCCCCAGCCCAGCGTCAGGACCAAGACCCAGGCCTCCTGAGCAACACCCAGCCCCCACCCCACTTTCATGTCTGGAGGCCGAGATCCCCCCCAGGCCCCCATCAGGGCACCTGGGGCCTGGACTCACACCCGCTCCACAGCTGCCTCATGGCACCAATAAAACAAGGGACCAGGGAATGGCGGTGGCAGGTGAGTGTGGAGGGAAGTACCCAGGTCGGAATCACAGGAGGTGGGCTCTGAGCCAGCCTCGCCACCACCCAGGCTGGAGTGAAGGGGCTGCTCCTGGGCTGGGGTTGCCTCTGACCTGCTCCTCCTCTCCTGGAGCTTTTGAAGATCTCAAAATTGACCCAGAGCCGAGCATCCAGGAATGTGCCACCAGGCAGCTCTCCTTCCTCCAGGAGGTGTTGGCCAGACCCAAGCAGTGACCTCCGGCTGTCTTCCTCCACTGCCTTCCCCTCCCCTGTGCTCACCTGGCCAGCCCTTCCCCATCTGCCCCTACCCAGAGCTTGATTGCATAATAATTTTTCACTTGAAAGAAAAATCTAGATTCAACAAAGAAGCATTACACGTGTCAGCTCCCTGCCGACTCGCCACAGGAGACAGAATACCAGGAGACACAGGCCCCAGGAGACACTGGCAGGACTTGGGGACAAGCTCAGGGTCAGGCCAGGGGTCAAACTGTGAAGTCTGTGGAGCCCCCTGCAAGTGGGCGCCTGCCCACTCCTGGAGACAGGGTCACCTTGATTGGGACCTCAGCCCAAGCCACAGCCTGCCAGAGTCTAGAGTCCAGGGTCCCAGGTCCCGAGGGCTGGGTGGGCGCGTAAGGGCAGCCTCCGCCAAGAGTCACTGCTCGGTATTCAGTCTGTCTCCAGCTGGGAGTGCCACAGTGGCTGGGGCTGACAGTGGGGTGGGGTCCCCTCAGTCATGACCCCCAGCCTCGGGCCCCCAGGGTCTCCCTCCACCCTCACCTACATCCTCTTCACCCCATTCAGGGTGAGCAGCAGAACCGGCCTGGCCCACCCGGGACACACTGTGGCCTGAGGCAGGAGTCTTGGCTCTCTGAGCCTCGGCCATTCCATCTGTAAAATGGGCAGTAACACCTTCCTCCCAAGACACCTTGGAGGGATGAGTCCAGAGGCAGACACCCTAACTCCTAGAGGGACACCTGGGGACCTGCCCAACCTGCAGCCTTGGCCTGGGGTCCACACGGCTCCTGGAAAGCCCCTCCCTGCAGAGCTCTGCCTGGGGTCTCATCCCAGGCTGCACCTCCCTCAGGACCCTGTCAGGCCAGCCACCATCCCACCGATGGGATGATCCAGCCTATACCCCCTTTCCCATCCTGGCCAGCACTGACCCCCACTCCACACTCAGCCAGGTGGTCCTTCCACCTGGAGCATCTCCCCCACCTCCCTGCCTGGTACTCTGCACTGCACCCCCCCGGCCCTGCCTCCAAACCCCCTGCCCCCCTGAGGTAGAGTACCCCAAGGCCCTGCCTCCATACTCCCATTCCCACTGCCCTCACCAAGGTGGAGCACCCCAAGTCCCCACTTCCATGCCCTCCATTCCCCCTTCACCCCCCAGATAGAGCACCCTAAGGCCCCACCTCCCTGCCATCCACCCATCCCCCAAGCCCAGCCCCCCGAGGCAGAGCACCCCAAGGGTCCACCTCCATGCCCCATCTATTTGCCGCCCCCCGAGGTGGAGCACCACAGCTGTACTGGGAGGCTTGTCAGCCTGTCTTCCCCCCAACCTGCTAGACTGTGAACCTCTCATGGCAGGGACAGGGTTACACAGGGCCAGCAGCGCTGACCCCAAAACTTGGCTGGTGGATTAAAAAAATACAGCAAACTTCACCCAACACGTGTCGGATTTACTTGAGTTCCAGATGTGTTTGAGGACAGGAGGGAGTAACCCTCCGGGAGAGCTGTTGCCCTTTCTCCACACAGGAGCTGGGGAGCCAGGTCTGTATCCCCTTAGCCATCTGTCGGCTTCAGAGGCGGGGCCGCCTGAGACGAGGCTTGTCCCCGTCTTGTCCACTGACCTCCTTCAGCACCTGCCTCACTCCTTGCTGGAGCCCCAGGGCAGAGACCACTCCCAGGCTCGCCACACCCTAGGCCAGCCCCAGGCCCACCTTCCTCCCACCTGGGGCCATGCCCTCCGTGTACCTCGGCCTAGGGTGGGGTCAGCCCCCAACAGAGACATGAGCAAACGTCCACACCCTCTGGCAGGCACCACCCTCAGGTGCCCAGGTGGCACCCTCAGGCACCCTGCTCCCTGGCCTGATGGACGGTGCCTTCCTCTACCCCAGCCACTGCCTGTGCCCTTCCCCAGGCCTCAAATCTTGAAATGTGGACACCTGTCTGGGGCGGGGCAGGGCAGGACAGGGAGGCCAACTCGCCGGACACTGGCCCTGAAGAATTGCCAAATGAAGCCCTGTCCATCCTTCATAGGACAATGCTGATGACCTGGCCTCACCCTCTAACACCACAGCCCCAAGAACGGTCAACACGGTCACCCCAGCCAAAGTCGGGCTCCAGCCTTGATAGCAGGACAGGGCAGGCTGGCTCCTGGGTCGGGGTGCAGAGACCCAGCATGGCCACCAGAGGGAAGCATGGGAGCACACAGAAGCCCCATCCTGGGCAGCAGCCCAGCATCCAGACAGCAGCCGCCAGGGGGGCCCCCAGGCCAGGGCCCGCCCCACCTAACCCCACAGCCCACTCCACACACACGGCCATGGCTCCTGTTTTATTGCCTTCGAGCATCCAGAGCACCTGACTGTCCCAGGGTCTAATAACTTAAGGTGCCAAGAACAGGTCAGGGCAAGGGGCTGCAGAGGAGGGGCTGGGCCCAGTGATTACAAAATAGACCCCCTCCCTGCAACAAACAGGCCGGAGGAGGCCGGCCCAGGCTGCTGTGGGAGGGGGTGGGAAGGAGGTCTGGGGAAGAGGGCACCCAAGCCACCTCGGAGAGACAGAGCCATGGGCAGCGCCACCAACAGAAATGGCAGGAGGACACACGGGGGCGGGGCGAATGGGGGGATAAGGGGATGGGGGGATAATGGGATGGAGAGCATAAGGGAGGAAAAGGAAGGTGAGGCCGGCCAAGGCACGGAGCCCCTGCTGGGCTGGGCTGGGCTGGGCTGGGCAGGGCAGGGCAGGGCAGGGCAGGGCCACCATGGGCCCCAGGCCCAGAAGCCAGGCCCAGCCGGGGTCCTGAGCTACATGACGCAGCAGCGGGTCTTGTGCGTGTGTGGGTCTTTGAACCGCAGCCTCTGTTTAGGCCGGTATTTCTCCAGGTAGGTAAGCTGCTTGCTGTTGATGGCTCCTCGGCGCTTCCTGGGAAGAGGGGACAGGGTGGGATCATCCGATGCCCTGGCTCTCCCACCTCGCCTGCCCCAGGGGACTGGAAGCTGAGAACGCAGTGGGCTGCAGTGAGGCCTTGCAGCTGGCCAAGCCCACCCCGCCCAGGGCTGCTTCCAGAGTCATAGCCACCCTTCCTGACGCCTGCAGCTCGCCCAGCTTGCCTTCCACACTCACCAAAGCATCAGCTCAGGCTGACTCCCTGAGCTCCCTATGGCGCCCAGGATTCCCCAGCTGGGTAGGACCTTCCCCAAGGCCATGAACCAGCAACAAGGGTGGTGCCTGGGCACCTCCACCATCCAGGGAGGGGAGCCCTATCAGTAAGGGAGGGGCCGCACCCAGAATTCCCACCCAGCTCTGTGACCTCCCAGTACAGCGGGGACCTGAGCTGCATGCTCTCCCTGTCCCTGCCATCTGCTCCCTATAGCAGGGACCTGGGCTGTGCATTCACCCTGTCCCTGCCACCTGGTCCTTGACTGCATGCTCATGGCTCGGGGGGACAGAAGGGCTTCCTGGAGGAGAGGATGCTGGAGCAATACCTGCCTGAAAGGCCCTGAGATGACAGGCATGGGGGCCTAGGGCTGCCCACTCAGCCCCTCTGGAGGCTCATGCATCCCCACCTGCCAGGACCTCAGGGGTGGCCATGGGCTGGCCCAGGCCAAGGAAGTGGGGGTGGAAGTAACCCGAGGAGTCTCTGCCCAGCAAAGCTGCAGGCGCCTTCCTGCACCATGGTGGCTTCCTCTGCCCCGCAGCACACAGGGGAAGGCGTGGCCCTCAGCCAGGCCTCAGTGTAGGGCCCCAGCCAACAGGCAGCAACAGGGGCAAGAAGCACCCGTGCCGTTCCAGGCTACTGGGGTCTGTGCCTGCCTCCATCCGCAACACGGCCCAGCCTGTCCTGCCCAGCGCAGCCACAAGGAAGCAACAAGCCCCAGCTCCCCGAGGCATGGGGCGGGGCCTGGGAGCATGTGTGGGTGCGGGTCATGTATATGCGCACACGTGTACCTGTCTGTGTGCGTCCCTGTGAGCAAACACCCACTTGTGTGTACGTGCCTGTTCACACACCTGCCTGCACCTGAGTGTGTGCCTGCGTATGTCTGGGTCTGTGTGTGCACACATGTGATGTGTGTGAACATGTGCCTGCATGTCCCCCATGTGTGTGTGAGCGTGTCTGTGTGTGCCCGTGCAAGTCCCAGTCTCCCCAAGGAGACCCAAGCACCTGCAGGCCACTCTCACACAGACCCACAGGGCAGGCCGGGCTCTCACACAGACCCACAGGGCAGGCCGGGCTCTCACACGGACTCACAGGGCAGGCTGGGCTCTCACACGGACCCAACCCACAGGGCAGGCCGGGCTCTCACACGGACCCAACCCATAGGGCCAGCCGGCACGGCAGGAGCAAGCCTGCCTCTGAGAGGAAGAGGCCCTACCAGCCAAGCCTGTCCAAGGAGCAGCACAGGTGTGTGTGGGTAACCCCCCTATAGGCACCGAGGAATGAGAGCTAAGCAGAACCCTGGCAGTTAGGGCTTGAGGAATGTCTCACTTTATAGTGTTACGACTCAGCTATTTCCTTTTATATAATCCTTTACATAATCATATATTAGTTTATAGAATTAGGGCTTGAACAATCCCTTTATATAATCCTCTATATATAATCATATAATGGTTGATAGTGTGAGTGCCTAAAGAATATTTCTCTACATATATACCTATAATTATATCTTAGTTCATATCGGAGGAATGCCTAGAGTGGACACAGTACAGAGCATGAATTAAGGAATAAGCAGCTTATAATCAGAGGAATGCCTGGAGCAGACACAGCGCAGAGCATGATTTAAGGGAAAACAGTTATACCAGGACAAGAATCCACGGCCCAGGCGGCAGCGTTCAGCTGTGTGGCAGGCTTGGGGCGAGAGCCACTCCTCCTGCTGAAGGAGCTGTAGGACCCTCTCCAGTTCTTGTGGAGGGCCGCCCTCAGACCAGCAATCCACCTTGGTGACTGTGAACTTTATCAGCTCTTGCTGCTGTGCTGCTCGAAAAGCATCTTCCCATAGAACCCACTGGAAGCTGCCAGCAGGTGGCAGACAGCTCTGTCACTACTGTGTGACTTAAAGCATCTTCCTATAAATTTTCTTAGAAGTATTCTGCCCATAGATAGAAGTCTTGCACACTGCACCCTCCTCACTGCGCACTGCCCACCTTCAAGCCTCGGTGACCTAATGGGGGTGGACCCCTTACTTCGCACGGCCCTTGCCTTCGTGGGAACAGGACCCTTGCTGTGCACTGTCCACCTCCTGGCCTAGGTGACCTAATGGGGGTGGACCCCGTGTTTTATTGCTGATGACCCTATCACTATTCTTAAAGATTATTTCACTCACTGCCCTGCCCCCTAACCTATACACAATATATACTCAGGCTTCTGGATATTTGGGGCCTCGCCTGACTCCGCTTATAGGTGGCGTGGCATGGCCCCCTGAGCCCAGTTGTGTTTTCTTTGTACTTCTGTGTCCTGTCTCTTTATTTCTCAGATCCTGCGCCTCAGCACAGCATGAGGCTCACCCTACGACCTTGTGAGGCCATCAGCCCTACAGGTGTGAGTGTCACACTCACAGGCACACACATGGCAGGCTGGGCAGGGGCCCTATCTGTTCCCACAGAGTTGGCCAGCGAGAGCTGCTGTCCCAGCCAGACTCCCCCAGGACCCTCTGGGTAGTGGGCAGATGGCAGCCTCCCCCACCAGGGAGGCCCCCAGTCAAAGGCACAGGCAGGTGGGCTGGCCCGGAAGCCTCCGAGGAGGGCGGGGAGGGCCGAGCTGGAGTGTGCGGGGTGGAGGGGGAGGGGTGGTGAGCAGCTGGACTCAGGGCAAGCTCTGAGACACTAGCCCAGAGTCAGTGTCCCTGCAGGTGGACAGGGTACGGTATGAAGTTTCAGGTTCTTGCTTTTCATGGAGGGGGTAACCTGGCTGGCTCTGGGGTCCTTCCACCCCAGTCAGGATGGCTGGGCCTGAAGGAGCTCTGTCTGTGGAGGGCAGGCAGGATGGCGTGTCGAGTGGCCTCACTGTGTCCCTGTGTGGCTGCATGGTCACCTCGGGGGCCGCTGTCCCCACCACAGGAAACACCCCAGGCTTCCCTGTTTCTGCAGAAAGGCCTGGCTTCGGTGGATCATCATTGCCTCAGGGTGACAGAACCACACAGCCAACACCACTGCGAAAGCCAGGCCCAGCCCTGCGTGGGCAGCCGATGCCCCTCCCCCGGTGCGCACAGCCCCCCCACCTCAGCCACTCACTGGCGGATGAACTGGATGGCGTCCTCGTACTTCATTCCGCTCTCGATGAGGGCCAGCGCCACAAGGACTGGAGCACTGGGGCAAACAGGAGGGCTGGAGTCATCAGAGCCCACGCGCCCGTCCCCTTGGCAGAGCACCTGCTGAAGATGCAGGGCACTGGGGCCAGAGGGGCCCAGACTCCCTGCTGCCTGAAGCTCCCCCACAGAGGCCACACCTCAGAGCCCAGCCTGAGAGCTGGGTCCAAATCCTGGCTCCCTCTGGGGCAGCCTCTCTGTGAGCTGCTGGGGGAGGGTTAACAAGAGCTGGCAGGTGAAGTGCTAGGAGCCGGACCCAGGCCTGCTGTCAGCCCTGCTCGCCTGGGTTTTCCTCTGCAGATGGAGGTGTCCCACTGGTCATTTCATCTAATCCCAGCCATTCTTCCTCCAAGCAGCGGGTCTGAGCCCCAGCTGTGTGTGGGGGTATCTTTGGGTCTGGGGAGGGGGATGGCAGCCCTTTCCTGCACAAGGTGTCAAGACAGTTTCCACCACAGCAGGAAGAAGCTGGGTGAGACTTTGGGAAGCAAACTCTGCAATGCTGGGAGAGGACCAGCCTGGGAGCCCTAGACCTTGGGGCCCAGGTCTCCTGGAAGGTCTCGTGAACATGTGTTCAGCACCCACATCCAAAAGTGAGGCTGTCAGACCACGAGATGCCCGACCCCTGGCATGGCCAGCCCCGCCCTGCCCCGACGCTCACCGGCCCAGGCCCGCCACGCAGTGTACAGCCACGCAGCTGCCCGGGGCCTCACAGAACTTGGCCTTCACCAGACTCAACCAGTCTTCCACAACCTTGCCGGGTGGGGGCGCCCCGTCGTCAAACGGCCAGTCCTGCAGAGGGAAGCAGACATGAGGACCCCTGACCACGGCAGGGCAGGGAGCTCTGACAGGCAGAGGATGCCAGGAGCCCCCTAGGGTGAGGGTGACAGACCCCAGAGGACACACAGGAAGGGTACAGCATGGCCATGGGCATACCCCATAGTGGGTGCCTCAGACTCATCATTCCCTGCTCACTTCAGCTGTCCCCTCCAGGAAGCCTTCCTGGACCACCCCTTTCTGAATAGAACCTCCTCCAGAGTCACACAAATCCTAATCCCCACATCTGTCAGCCCAAGTTCTGGTTCTGGGGTCACAGTCCCTCGCACCTGTGTGCCGGTGGCAGCCTGAGAGGTTTTGGCGCAGCTGGTGCAAGGGATCTTGTCCCTGTGGCAGCATGCAAAGACAGCTGGCACATGCCACACAAAGCCCAGGTGCCAGGAAGGACTGAAGACGGGGCTGTGGGATAAGACAGGCCTCCGTTTCTAAGAGCAGGACCCTCAACAGGGGTTTCCACTGGGGCCTAGCCCATTGCTGCTGGCGGTTAATTTGGTCTTGGAAGATGACCTGCGCTTGCCTTTGTCCCATCCCCCAGCATCACGGTGAGGTGGACGACAGGAGTCTTCCCAGGGGAGGGCCTGGGCACTGCAGTGGGGATGGACATGTTTCAGTCTTGGGAAGGCGGGTTCAGGCAGGGACGCAGGACCGTGCCAGACCTGGGGCTGTCTAGTGCCAGGGAGAGCCCACTGGGCCCACTGAGGCAGACCTGCAGCCTTTGGGGGCATCTTGCCCCTCCCCAGCCACCAGGCAGGGCAACTCCTAGAGGCAACTGGTCTGTGTGTAGGCGTCCCCACCTCCATTACAGCAACTTACATCTGACCCCAATCCCTCCACTGCTGTGGAAGGGGAGGGAGGACGTGGGAGCCCATGAGCGCACCCCGTCTCCACTCTTCCAAGCAGCTCACTTTGAGGGGAGGAGCCCAAGGCTCGGAGTGACCTGCGGGGTCATAAGGCTGGGGAGGGCAGGGGCGGGATGCCCATCTGACCCCACACGCCGGCACAGCCACCGCTCCAAACCACCAAGCCGAGGTGAGGAAACAGCAACCCCTGCCAAAAGCGGGGTCCTGGCGTGAAAAGCAGTGGCTAAGGGGCGCTCCACACTGGGGAGCCTGAGGCCCAGGTGCAGCTGGACAGGCCTGAGCCGGGGCTGGCTCTAGGGCTGCAGCTGCTGTGGCCTCCCCACCCCCAAAGGGTATGGCAACAGAACTGCCCCGCCCCTCCTAGACCTGGGTCCCTAGGGCCAAGGGAGCCAAGGAAACTGCCCAAGGGTCCTCCCCAGGAGCCCACAGCCTGGCAACAGGGCCCCAGCCACTCAGGCAGCGAGACCGAGGGGCACCCAAGACAGGCCAGAGGAGGGCCTGACAGGCAGAGAAGCCTGCCTGCTCCCTTGGCAGAGGCACCAAGCATGTGCCACCCCTGCCTGGCAAGCCAGGCTGGTCCATTCTAGACAGAAAGACGGGGTACACTAGGGTGACTTTCTTGAGGTCACATGGCCCAACACCCTGGCCTTCCCTTAATGTACCCAGACATACACACGGCCCAGGCACAAACAGGCCCTGGGGCTGCCACAGGAGGGGCACCAAGCCACCCTGGCAGGCCCAGAGCCCCCACCCCACCCTCCCCCGGTGGCAGCAGCCACCAGGGTCCCGCCTCGCCTCACCACAACTGTAATGCCGTCCTTTTCCAGCGGCGCTTTGTCGTACGTCACATCACACACACGCACCACGGTGGTGGCCCCATACTTCTTCAGGTCCTGGGCGTGGGAGGAGGAGGAGGCAGGGCTGGGCTGGGCAGCAGGGCTCCCAGGGCACAGCTGTTTCCCCCCAGTCCCCCAGGACTTGAACATGTCCCCTCAGACCTCCCAGGGTAGAGCCCTGTCCCCTCAGGCCTGCAGGGCAGGGTCATGCCTTGAAGAAGCCAGGGAAGGGCATGTCACCCTCCAGCCAGGCAGACCCTGATGCAGCAGAGCCCACCAAGAGTGGACTTGGGGCTCCATGGCTGGTGGATGTGGCATATAGATGTGGAAGAGACTGTCCTAGGTCCCTCGGGCCACCCAGAAGCAAAGGTGTCCCCACCCACATTCACAGTCACCCACAGCTCAGCAGCTGGGATTCCGGCTCCCCAACACATCATCCCCTCCTCTGGGGTGCTCAGGACCCCAGATCTACCAGGAACAACATTTTTTCCAGAAAAGCTACTAGGTCCCTGCAGCAGGAACCGGACCCCCCAGCCCACACGTGAGCCCCTGCATCCTAGCAGCTCCCCAGGCTGAGCCGCATGGATGGGTTCAGTCCAGAGGGGCTTTGGGGTCTAAGAGGGGTGGGTATCAGCTGGGGTGACTCAGACCAGGGAGGGCGGGCACCACTCAGAGGGCAGCCAGGAGGGAGCTGGGCCCTGTACGCCAGCAGGGCAGACACACACAACCAGGGAAAAGGTCACAGTAGTTCACAGCCAGGCCGATATTTATACCCCCAGTTCAGGGGGTTCCACTCCACGGAGTCACGTGCGGGGGCTGTTCCCACCCCATCTGCTCTTGCAGCTATTTTGGGAGTGGTGAGGAATCAGCTGCTAGGTCTTGCTAGTCAAGGGACAGGGACATGGAACACAAGAGAGGCCAGCACCCAACTATCTGAGAATGCAGGGTGCAGGTAAGGATGCTGGGCTCTGTGACTGTGGGGTACCTCAGGGTCCCTCTGTACCTTCAGCAGAGGGAACAGCCACCCATACCAGGACTTAGCCCTAGCCCTGGTGACAGGCTGAGCCCTCCCTGATCCCGATCACATACTGAGCCTTGAGCAGCCCTAATCCTGGTCACATGCTGAGTCCCGATCCTCGTCACACATTGAGCCCCAACTGTGGTCACACATTGAGCCCCAAATGTGGTCACAAACTGAGCCTGGATCTTGGTCACACACTAGGCCCCGACCCTGGTCACACATTAAGCCCCGACCCTGGTCACACACTGAGCCCCGATCCTGGTCACACTGAGCCCCGACCCTGGCCGCACACTGAGCCCCGAAACTGGTTGCACGCTGAGCCCCAATCCTGGACACACACTGAGCCCTGGTCCTAGACACACACTGAGCCCTGGTCCTAGACACACACTGAGCCCCGGTCCTGGTCACACTGAGCCCCGGTCCTGGTCACACTGAGCCCCAATCCTGGTCACACACTGAGCCCCGACCCTGGTCACACACTGAGCCCTGGTCCTGGACACACACTGAGCCCCGGTCCTGGACACACACTGAGCCCCGACCCTGGTCACACACTGAGCCCCGGTCCTGGACACACATTAAGCCCCGACCCTGGTCACACACTGAGCCCCGACCCTGGTCACACTGAGCCCCGACCCTGGTCACACACTGAGCCCCGAAACTGGTCGCACACTGAGCCCCAATCCTGGTCACACACTGAGCCCCGGTCCTGGACACACTGAGCCCCGGTCCTGGACACACAGTGAGCCCCAATCCTGGTCACACACTGAGCCCCGGTCCTGGACACACACTGAGCCCCGGTCCTGGTCACACACTGAGCCCCAATCCTGGTCACACTGAGCCCCGGTCCTGGACACACACTGAGCCCCGGTCCTGGACACACACTGAGCCCCGGTCCTGGTCACACACTGAGCCCCGGTCCTGGACACACTGAGCCCCGGTCCTGGTCACACTGAGCCCCGGTCCTGGACACACACTGAGCCCCGGTCCTGGACACACACTGAGCCCCGATCCTGGTCACACACTGAGCCCCGACCCTGGTCACACACTGAGCCCCGACCCTGGTCGCACACTGAGCCCCGACCCTGGTCGCACACTGAGCCCCGACCCTGGTCGCACGCTGAGCCCCTTCCCTGGTCGCACGCTGAGCCCCTTCCCTGGTCGCACGCTGAGCCCCAATCCTGGTCATACATGGAGCCCCGGTCCTAGACACACAATGAGCCCTGATCCTCATCACACTGAGCCCCGATCCTGGTCACACACTAAGCCTCGAACCTGGTTGCACACGGAGCCCCAGTCCTGGTCACACACCAAGCCCCAGTCCTGGACACACAATGAGCCCTGATCCTCATCACACTGAGCCCCGATCCTGGTCACACACTGAGCCCCAACCCTGGTCACACACTGAGCCCCGGTCCTGGTCGCACAGAGCCCCGATCCTGGTCACACACTGAGCCCCAATCCTGGACACACACTGAGCCCTGATCCTGGTCACACACTGAGTCGTGATCCTGGTCAAACATTGAGCCCTGATCCTGGTCACACACTGAGCCCTGATCCTGGTCACACACTGAGCCCTGTTCCTGGTCACATACCGAGCCCTGGTCCTGGACACACACTGAGTCCCAACCTTGGTCACACACTGAGACCTGACCTTGGTTACAAGCTTAACCCTGATCCCAGTCACATTCTGAGGCCTGACCCTGGCTGCTCATCATGCTGTTCTCACCAATCTTTCTGTCGGTTCTGCTGTTACCTCAGAGGTCTCAGCTGTGCAAGTGATAGCCGTCTTCTGTAGGGTACCTGGCTCAGTGTCCAGGGTCCAGGCTCCCTATGGCAAGGTGCCCAATGCCTCCTGCTCCACAGTTCTCAATGCCCTCTCATGCATAAATCCCTGCTTCATTATGACAAGGCCATGAAGGCGTATCTCATGTGGTAGAGGACTCAGCCACAAATGACTCTGCACACAGCTGCAGCCTCTGACTCAGCCTGGCACAGTCAGAGGCTTTGTCAACGGCCCGTACAAGGCCATAGACTCTGCAAACGGGCCCAGGCCTGCAGGCATCAGGGCACTCTGCAGAGGCCAGGCAGATCACTGCAGTCTCCACTCCCAACACGGCTTCTGCAAACGCATCTGCTCCCATGTGCCGGGGGGCCAGTGGCGGCATTTCTGCCTGCTGTCTCTCCAGGGCACAATGGTCCCTCCCTCCTGCAGTCAGCACTGACACTTGCCCAGTCCCCACTCACACAGATATCCAGGCCCTGAAGCCCCCAGCCCAGCCTGGTCTAGCCTGAGGCCTCACCCAGAGCCTGGCAATGCAGAGCAGGGCAATGCCTGGAGGCCTGGCCCACCATGGAGCCGACCTGCCCACCTGTCCCCATCCACCTGCTTCCCCATAAGCAGCCACTTCTCACACCAGGGCACCTCCTGCCCGCTCAGCCTAGGCACAGATGCCAAAAGGAAAGCAAAGGGCTCAGGAGGGCCCCAGCCCAGGCCACAGCTGAGCGTGCAGAGCCTGGCCCGTGTACCCCCGGCTTCACCACTTGCCTCTATCCACGTGGCGTGGAGTCCCTCCTGTCACACGCCAGCCCCCTGCAGGCCCCCTAGGGACCCAGTTGATCCCCCAACACCCTCACCCCCGAGGTCCCAAGGCATCCCCACGTCCCTCCTCCAGGACCCTGTAACGGGGCACTGAGCCCTGCTCCAAGGCCGTGAGCCCTGTCTAGCCAGCCAGGCCAGTGGACCCCTCTTGAGAGGCCTGAGCACAGCTCAGCTGGGCTTCGCTGCCACCTTGGCTGGACCTGCCCACCCCGCCGCCATCTGCACTCACCTCAATGAAGGTGCCGAGGCTGGCGTTGGTGGGGTTGTGGGTGATGAGGAAGCGCATGTGTTTGTAGCTCACCTCCACTGGGGCCGGGCGGTTCATCCGAGCCATGGCGCCTCCAGGGCAGAGAGGGGCTGCAGGGAAGGCTGGGGACACAGACCTGAGAAGTCCCCACGCACCCCCCAAAAATGAGGAGAACGAGATCCCTGTGCTTGTCCAAGAGAAAGAGATCTTTTTAAAAACCCACCCCCACACCCCGCACAAATATTGTGCAAATAACTTGGGCGTGGGGGAGGAAGCTGCCCAGAGTTTGGATAATTAAAAAAGAAAATCCAACTCTTAAAAAGCAAAGGAACAAAACAGCCCCCCAAAGTACTGTAGGCAACTCCAACTCCTGTCTCTCAGAGAGGGATAGTCATAAAGGGGCAAAAAATAAAAAGAACTACCAGAAAAGCTCAGCAAAGAAAACTTAAAAACCCAAAGGAAATCCAGCCGCCAAGCAGTGTCCAGAGCTGGACCCCACGCTGGGGGCGCCCTCTCCACATCGGTGGATGGGCAGACAGCCTCCTTCACTCAGAGGTGGTCCCCAAGCCCACAACAGCCAGAGTAAGAATGAACTTGAACTGAGCCAACTCCAGCACCCTTGGGCCAGGGGTCACCGGCAGCGGCCGCGGGGACAGTGGCCTCTGATGTGCAGGGCCTCTGTCATGTTACCCCATCGGGGTATGGTGAGTCCTGGAGGGGGACAGGGGGCTCAGGCAGTAGAGCTGGCCCCAGGCTGGACAGCAGAGGCCATCGGCAGTCGAGGGCAATGGTGACAGCCAGCAGCACGGGGACCCTCAGCAGCAGGCTCTGGGACCTCGGGTGCAGCAGTGCTCAGGGCTGGACCCCGCAGCCCACTCCATGAATCCCAGGCGGGTCCACAGCACACAGCATCTGGGGGAAAAGATGAAGAAAATTAACAGAAAGGGATCACAAGGGGTCACCCCACCCTCCCATGAGGGGTTCAAGCCTGCCCTGAGCCCACAGTCAGAGGCGACACTTCTCCTGGGGCCTCCTCCTGACCATGCTGAGTGACCCTCTTAGGCCTCAGTTTCCCTACATGGGAGCACAAGGAAGAACGGCTCCTACCAGGACTGACCCAGGCCTGGAGGCAATAGGGCAGCTACCATACAGCCAGCAGGGCATAACGGAGGACACAGGGGACAGGGATTTCAGATACACACACACCCCCAGGACATGCTAAACCCCAGCACACAGAGGACAGGTCCCTCTAGGGTGACAGAGACCAAGCTCCCCTAAGAAGCCTGAGCCTGGCCCCTGCCAGCCCGCTCTGATCTACGGAAAACCCACCCAGGACAGCTGCCCTCTCCTCTTCTGATTCTTGGCCACTGCGAACATCTGAGCCCAGGTCTCTCTGGGTGGCCCATCCTCAGGGAATGGGGCCCAGGCACTCAGTCAGTGCTGCCAGCACAAGGAGGTGAGGGGCCTGAGCCCACAGGTGGCCAAGGGCCAACTTAATCGCCCGTTGCTTTCTGCAGAAATTCTCCTTCCTGTCAGCAGCCCCCTGCCTGCCAGTGTCCCCCAGCCCCTGTGTCTCCACCGCTCACACAGGGCTCAGCCAGACTCAGGGGATAAACAGGCCAGGAGCTCAGGGAGGCGGGGACAGACAACACCAAACAGGCCAGCCGTCAGGCACACATGCCAGGGTGGCGACACCACAGGTAGCCAGGAGCGGGTTCACACGGTGAACAGCCCTAAGAGGGAGGCTGCAGGGGCGCCAGGGGCGGCTCAAAGTAACTCCACACCTGCCTCTCCCCGTCTCTGGGTCTCATGGCCCCAAAGCTCCCAGGCAAGGGAGTCCCAGGAGCGCACAGCCCCCTCCCCTCTCTCCGGAAGAGCTCGGACACCTTGTGCGAGGCGCTGGCCTCTTTGTTACCCCATTAGCACAATGATGGGCCACAAAAGATCCCTCCAGCGGTGACCCAGCTGTTAGCAGACCCTCCAGCCCCCTGGACTCAACCCAAGCCCAGCCCTGTCACTACTGCCTGCCACTCAGGAAAGGCACTTCAGGCCCCTCACCCGGCAGAGCCCTCCATCCCCCAGCCCACCCCTCTCACCTGTGCCCCTGCCCAGCACCCCTTCCCGGCTGCCCACCAGGCAGGCCAGGTCACTGGAGCCTCAGCCCAGGTGCAGGGAGGGCACAAGGCCTGGGCCCCCGGACTCGGAGGGTGGCTGGCGGGGACGGTGGGCTCCGCCTTGCCTGCCCTCCACACTCTGCGCGGTAGCCAGTGCTGCGGGCTCAGAGCAGGCGCCACATCTCATGTTCTTCCGTTGCCTGGTTCAGGGAAGGTTAAAATAGGCAGTGGCATGGGACCCCCAGAAGGAGGTAAAGGTGGAGACAAGGATCCCGTCCCTGGTCCTGCCAGCCCCCACCCAGCCCAGCTGGAGCCAGCACAGGCTCTGAGTGCAGGTGAGGGAAGCCACCAAGCACGAGCAGCACACAAACACCCAGGTCCCTCCTGGGGCAGCAGGATGTCCCCGTGTGCGTGCGCGCCGGGGCGAGCTCATGTTTACAGAAAGAGAAGAGGAAAACTGCCCGAGAAACCACGTTCCTGGGGTCGCCCCCTGAGGAGCCGGCCCAGCTCTCATGCCCAAGGCTGCCAGGGACCCCAGCAGACCCCACAGGAACAGCACATGGCCTGGCACCGCCGCCCAGTGGCCCCACTGCCCAGTGGCAATAGACAGGTCCTCAGGGCTGCAGGTTGCTGGGCAGGGAGATGGCTCTGAACCACCCCACACGACCACCCACCTGAGGCCAGAGGATGCCATGCATCCTCCCAGCTAGAATGGTATCAGGGCTCCAGGGAGAGGTTGGACTGGGCTGGGGTCTTGCCACACACCCCACTTGGCTCCGCAGCCTGGGGCCCCACCCCTGCCCAGCTGAGAGTAAAGCAGGGAGCCCCCAGCATGACTGCGGGACTCTGCCCTGCCCAGTGGCTACTCCCCAGAGAGGACACCCTTCCCTGACCACATGCCCCCTGAGCACCGGGGAGGGCCCAGAGAACAAGGATGAAGGATCCCCAGCGATGGGCACTCAGTGAAATGGGGACAGGCTGCCCCGGCCTCCATATGTTATAAGTCTCTGCCCAGCCCGAGGCCACAGCACAGGGCCCACAGGCAGCCTCAGCCCCTCCTTCCCTCCTGCCACCAAGCCCTGCAGCCCCTTCCCAAGATCTGGCTCAGTCTCCTCGGACCCGCAGGCCCAGGGCCTTCAGCTACTTTCAAACCAGTATCTTCTCAAGACCCTTTAAGCGAGAGTCCATCCCTGTCCCTGTTTGCCAGATGAGGAGAGAGGCCAGGGAGAGGGGAGGACAATTCTCTGGGCCCAGGCCAGACCAAGCGTCCAGTTAAGTGGGTTCTCTCTGGCTCCAGGCTAGGAGGCAGGAGCAACACGGATCCCCGTACAGAAAAGGAAACTGAGGTTCAGGGAGGCTACCACCCTCCTTCCCGATGGCACAGCCGGTTAAGAAGTTTGAATCCAGTGTGAATCCAGCGCCCTTCAGAGAGGGCCCCCCTGGGATACTGGGGAAGAGGCTGGAGGCCCGCGGCTCAGTGGGTCCCAGGAGAAGCAAGGCTGGACCGTAGGTAGGGCTGAGGTGGGTGCTCTGCGGAGTTCCGAGGGACTAGGCGCCAATGACGTCCTGGTAAGGGGCACAGCCCCCTCCCTCGGCACCAGCAGGGCTCCCGCCCAGCCCTCTGGGGGGCACCACCTCCTCCCCGGCGGGGCTGGGGGCCCGGAAGGCAGCGTCCCCACCCACTAGGCTCACCCACACTGCAGGCATCCCGCCGTTTCCATGTGCGCCTGGCTGAGGGGTGCCCGTGGCGCTGGGCCGGGGGCAGGGCGCCGCCCCTCCACAGTGGAGCTGACTCCAGGCACTGCTGCCGCTGCCGCCTGCAGCTATTTATAGCGCCCAGGCATCACGTGGGGGGCGTGACCGGCGGGCGACCTGGCTGCCAGGGGCTCCCACACCTGCCGCCTAAATATAGCCGCGCCCCGCCCGGGAAACAAAGGGGCCGCACAGGGCAAGCGCAAGGAAGAGGAAGCCCAGCCAGGAAGGGGAAGCGTGGGGTGTGGCAAGGGCCCGGACCCCTCCGTCCTCCCGCTGGGCCTCTCCCGGTGTCCGTACTCCCTAGAACCTCGGGGCTCTCCCAGACCCCCTCCTGGGGCTTCTCTGGACTGTGGGCTGAAGGGACCACAGGGCAGGGGCTGCCGGGCCAAGCCCGTGGTGGGGAGGCCTAGAGGGGGCGCGCCTAGCTTTGGTTAATGGAAATGCGGTCCCTGGTGCAGGTGCTGGCCTGCACCCAGAGGAGTAGGGCACCCAAGTCCCCCCTGTTCAGACCCCTGCCCAGCTCACCAGCCCCCACCCAGGCACTCCTCTATGTAGTTACTCAGCACCCACCGTGTGCCGGACACTGTCCCCTCAATCCTCATGACCCACTGTGGCTGGCTATGCTGGTCTCCCCTAGCATTCTGGTGAGGAAACTGAGGCACTGAAACGAGGAACACACTCAGGTCACACTGGCAAGCAGGACTTGGCCAGGGAGCTATCTCCACAAACTCCGAGGCTACGCCCTGATGCCCCCTCTTCCAGGAAGCCCTCCCAGACGATCTCAAGCAAATGCCTCCCTGGGACTCCTGGCTCTGCCTCCTAGGAGCACTGTGTCCGGGAACTCACGTGCTCCTCAGACTATGAGGCCCAAGAGTACAGCCGGCATCACAGTCCACTCTGTGCCTGCCCTGGCCACACAGGGCCCTCAGAGCAGGGTGGAACAGGACACGTGGCATCCCCAGCTTGGGGTCCCTGGAGGCCTGGCCTTGCCTGCAGCTCTCAACCCGATCTCTGCAATCTGGGGTAATCAAGGGGCCCTGCTGAGAGCATGCCCCCACCAGGCTCTGCCCACCCACACTTCCAGACAGCATCACCAGCAGCCTGGCCCAGCTGTATCTGCAACCCTCACCTCCTCCCACCCCTAGGTGGGCAAGCAGGCAGGGGAGACAAGGACAGGAGGGCTGTGCCCAGTCTGGAGGGCCCCACAGGAACCCCCATCCACAGGCACATCAAGCCAGGTAGCCCTGCCTGTCGGCTCATGGACCCACGAGGGCATGAGCTCCCTGGCAAGGACACCCACCCATGTAGGCTCACCCAGCGCCACAGGAAGACTTGAGGCTCTGACTCCACCCAGTGCTCTCAGCTTGCCACTTCCAGCAGCATCTCCCTGAAGATCCAAGGCAGGAATGGATCGGCTTCAGGGCCTCTACCCCACCAGTCTCAACCTCAACCACTTTCTAAGGACAGCAGGCTAGGCGCTGCATTCCACGAGCAAGGCACTGACACCCGCCACATTGCAGTGACAAACCCGACGGCTCAGAGAAGCTGAGCAACCTGCTTGAGGCACAGCCAGGAGGCAGAGGAACCACAGCTGGAGCTGGTCTTACTGATCCCCAGAGACCGTACTTACCCCAACCCTAACCCTCTGTGAGAGAGGACCTCTGGGGTAAACCGCTCTTGCCACCCCAGCCTGTTTTCTTATCCATGAAAGGGTTCCCATCAAGCTCTGTGGTGCTACAAGCAGACAGAGCCCATCATGCCTGTGGCTACAAAGGTGGACCCCGGCATCCTCGGCACCCCCACCCAGGCTGCACCCCCTTGCCTAGGGCCCTCTGGCCGGGCTGGGGGGCACCTGCTGCAGCTGGCACAGCACCAGACCTTTCGGAGAAGTCTATTTATATCCAGGCAGGAGCCGTTCCTGGAATCCTACCAGAGCGAGCCTAAGACTGCCCATTGCTAGGGGGACCAGGAAGGGAGACCCAAGCAGGCCAAGCCCACGCCTGATGTGCTAAGACACATTCCCAAAGTCCTCCAGGCCCCCACGGCCAAGCCCCCCACCCCATCCTATCCCCTCTCCCCTTGCTATGTGTCCTTTAGAGCAGAGGGTCCCAGACCCCAGGGAAGGCATCCCAACTGCAGGAGGACTGAGAGGTCGTCAGTTTCACCCACCTCCCGCACAGGCCCTGGCACCAAGAGGGCTTCCACTTGTTTGTGGAGGAACAAATGACCCAATGTTCTGGGCAGAGGTCCAGACCTGGGAAACAGACAGAGCCCATCATGGGATCTGGACCCGAGGTCTAAAGGAACCTCAGAGGTCACCTACGCCACACCTAAGCCCCAGCTTGCACACCTCCGGTGAAAGGGAGCTCACTACTCCTTAGCATCCCTTATGCCCTTCACCCCAGGCAGCCTCCCAAGCTATCAGTCTCAGTCCCCTTCTCTGGTGCTTCCCGAGCACTCACTGCAGGGATGGGGACCAGCAGGAGGAGAGCTCCTAAGCAGCAGCAGCCCAGGGTGGCGAGAGGTCAGGGAAGGCTTCCTGGAGGAACTGGCCAGAGAGGAAGCAGGCACGCTCCTGATGCCAGCTAGACCCCCTACCCCAACTCCCTGCGTGACCCTGAGCCAGTGCTAGCCCTCTGGGGCCCATGGCTGCCTTTACAAATAGAGATGCTGCCAGAAAAAAAAGCCACCTTCCAAGGTGGTGCCAGCTCCAAGCCGGTCATGGGGTGCCTGGCTGCAGTCTGGAAGCAGAGCTGTTGGGCACTGGCTCAGGTTCTACCCACTGGGCATCTGCAGACCAGTGGGCTGCAAGGACAGACCCCTGCACTCAGCCACTGCCCCTCCGGGCCACACATGGCTTCAACAGTGCCTTCTGAGGCATGGCGCTGACTTGCCAAACTGGGAGACCTGCCCTGCTCCTCCTGAAGCTGCTCAAGTGCTGCCTACCACCAGTAGTGCCCAGGTTGCCACAGCTCCACCACAGCTTCCACAGGCAGGAGGGGCATGGGGAGGCACCCAGTGAGAGCATGGGCGAGGCCACGGGGCCCCACTCAGGCTGCCACTGGGCCACAGGCACCCAGCATCGGGCAGGCGATGCCCCCCAGGCACCAGGAGTCCCCCAAACCTGTGGCCACTTGGGCCCTCCCAGGCCTACCCAGAGCCTCCCAACCTCCAGCGACACCAGAGAACCACCCAGGTGATGGTAGAAACCTGACCCCAGGAGGTCTTAATATGACCCTGTGGTCTGCTGCGATGCCCGATCCCATCCCAGGACTCGGACCTCTTCCCCCACAGCCCAGCGCCAAGCCCCAGCCCTCCCCACCTGGACTCAGCTCAGCCAGCCTCACCCCTGTGGGCCTTGACCATCCCCTAATGGGACTAGGGATGCCAGAGGAAAGGAGCAAGGGAGGACAAGCGTCAGGGGAGAGGTGGAGGAGGGGACAGTCACAGGGAGGGGTTCTGACCCACACGATGGTGGTCAGGACTGGGCTCTGGACTCATGGCCTGGGGTCAAGCCCAGTGCTGCCCATGACTGCTTCTGCCCTGTGAGCCTTGCTTCTCCACCTGTAAAAGGTATGACAAGCCCTACCTCACCGGGGTCTGGAGGGGATGGCAGGACAGTGGGCACTGACAGCTGGAAGACAAGGCCTCTGGCAACAGCTCAAATGAGGAAACTGAGGCATGGTCAGGGGAAGTGCAACTCCCAAATGTGGCCATGCAAACCCTCCAGGAACTCCTCTGCCACACTCGAAGCTCACCTGGCAGCAAGGCATTTAGGGCATCTTCCCCACCTGGGGGTGAAATACCGCCAGGTCCCCTCCTAGTTCCCCCCACCCCACCCTTGTTGCTCCCCCAGCATCCCAGCCCTCCACCTGCCCTTCCTGCGGGCAGGGATGCGGGTGTCAGTGGCTTGGAAAGCATCCCAGCAGCCACTGCCAGCCATGGTGCCTCTGGCATTTGAGGCCCGCCTGCCCAGCACAAAGCCCACTACCCCCTCCCCATCCCCATCCCCAAAGGGCACCCCACCCTCCGCACTGCCCTGCACCCTCCTGAGGCTCAGCAGTGCCTCTGAGCCTCCCTACTCCCACCCTGGACCACAGGACTCCCACCAATGAGGAACAGGGACCAGGCATTCATCTGCCCATTCATTCATTCATTCACGCAATTGACAAATACGTACTGAGCACCTTCAAGGCCCAGGTGCTGGGCTAAGCATGGGAGATTCAGGAAAGAAATGGACAGAAACAGCACACAGTCTGCCCACCTTCTCCCGCCCTCACAGGTGGGCCTACCCAGCCGCCCCTCCACCACTTGCCCTGCCAAGCCGCCTCCTGGACTCCCCAGGCAGGTGAGCCAGGTAATGACAATATTGTTGGGTTTCCAGGGAGGGGTTTGGGGTGCCCACATGCCGGCATCTCCACTGAGTCAGGGGTCACTTCCTTCCTGGAGCCAAGCAACTTGGTTCTTCAACGAGGCACCATGCCAACCTATGCCTCAGTTTCCCAGGCTGTCACAAACAGGGAAAGGCTTCCTGGCTCACAGCAGAGTTACTGCCAAGGCCATCAGTTCAGGTCCCAGGGCCGTCAGGCCTCCAATCACCCTACTGTCCCCAGCCATCGACACAGCCAAGGCCTCCACAGGGCTGCACCCACCTCGCCTCCCAGCCCACCCCCACAAGCTCCCTCCCCACCTCCTGGCATGGCTCATGCTCTGCTCAGACACCACCTCTCAGGGAATCTTCACTCCCCACTCCCCGTGTCCTGGATCCCTCCTCTGTAAAGAGGGATCGCAACCATCACTCCCTTACAGAGTGACTGGAAATAAAGGAATCGGGTCACAAAAAGTGCTTAGGGTCTGTTGCTGCCTCTGTGACCCCTGTATCCCCAAGTCCCAGCGAGGATGCCACCCCTTCTCCTCTGGTCTTGATCTGAGTCCAGCAAGGAATGAGCCACGCAGGCCTGGGCATCCTCTGAGGCCACAGTGAGCCCCTGGCTGCCACCTCCCTGCCCCCCACCTCCCTGTCCCCTGCCTCCCTGGGGCCCAGGTCTCAGGACCTCTCACCCCTGTCGTTATGCCTTCTCCT